TTGGCCAGCCTGGCATATGCCGCTGATGTTATCCGCTTGATATGTGCTGCAGGAGACAGGTCTGGCGTGATATCAACCCCCAAGTCTTTTTCCTTCTCTGACTCCTGAAGAATTTCCTCTCCCAGATGATACCTTGTATCTGGCCTCCTGCTCCCTACACCTATCTTCATTACATTACATTTGGTTGGGTTAAACTCTAACAACCATTTGTTCGACCATTCCTTCAGCTTGTCTAGGTCTTCTTGAAGCCTCAAACAGTCCTCTTCTGTTTTAATCCTTCTCATAATTTTAGCATCGTCCGCAAACATTGAGAGAAATGAATCGATACCCTCCGGGAGATCATTTACATATATCAGAAACAAGATAGGACCGAGTACAGAGCCCTGTGGGACTCCACTGGTGACTTCACGCCAATCGGAAGTGGCGGTAGTGGCGGTGGTGCTCCTACTGCTAGTAGTGGTGGTGGTGCTCCTACTGCTAGTAGTGGTGGTGGTGGTGGTGGTAGTGGCGGTGGTGGTGGTAGTGGTGGTGGTAGTGGTGGTGGTGCTCCTACTGCTAGTAGTGGTGGTGGCGAGGGTGATGGTGGTGGTGGTGATGTGGATGGTGGTGGTGATGTTGCCGATGCATAGAAAACGTCAATTTTACGCTGCTTTAAATCTCTGCGAATTAGTCAATTTTGCACAAAAAATACTAAATTTGCAAAAAAATATACTGCATGTATAATGAAAGAACAAGTTACTGTAATATATTGAATTATCAGAAGATGACACAACCTTCTGTTGAGCACACAATGTGTTTAAAACTGTAAATCAAATTACAATTAACTTAAGTTGTCATTGTGAATGATATTATTAGTTGATATGGTAAATATAATATTTACCTGAAATTACCTGAGGGCCACTAAGACTCTTAGTGGCCTCGACGAGGACAGGAAGCCGGTGGCTTGTCAAACGTCCCCCCCATTTGTCCTTACGATTTTTTCGAACTGGATTTTAACATTTAACGGAGTTTTGGCAATTACGGCTTCGGCGGGTAGGAGGTTCCATGGGTTTATAACCGTGTGGGTGAAAAAGCATCTCCTGTCCTCAGCCCAACATTTGTGGCTTGAAACCGTTTTTCCTTGTTTGTGTTACATCTAACCTTTTGAAGAAGTTTTCTGAACGAATATGTGACGATGAGTAGTGGCGGTGGAAGCTGGTTAGTGGTGTGTGCTAGTAGTGCTAGTAGTGACAGCAGCTAGTGGTGGACGCTAGTAAGGGCCGCTAGTGGCAGCAGCTAGTGGTGGACGCAAGTGAGGGCCGCTAGTGGCAGCCGTTAGTGGTATCAGCTAGCGTCGAAGCCTAGTAGTATCACCTAGTGTCAGAGGCTAGTGCCATAGACTAGTGGTGTCAGCTAGTGTGTGTGTGTGTGATGCTAGCAAGAACGGCTAGCAGCGCTCCTCAGGTTCCCATGGCAGCCAATACTCAACTTTATATTTAAAGCTTAGTGGTGATGGCGGCCGTCCTGTGGCCGGCCGAGCCAATGGTGTCCAGCAGGCAGCTGGTGGAGCGGAGGCGCGAACTGGGGACGCGTACATCAGGCTACAACACTGAAACTAATATAATATGCTAACACACAATATGCTAATATATTATAATATTAATTTATATTTGAGAAAATTCCTGTTTTGGATGAACAGCATGTTAGAATTTATGAATGCGTCTGTGGGGGTCGACCGCTGGATGTAATGGACTTGAGTCGAGGACGGGTTGGCGAGTCGTGTGTAAACTGTTTTTCATTCAGAACAGGTGGTTTGGTGGGTGCATGGAATGACTTCTGGGTCTTTGTTTGGAGGACGGAGTGAAGCAAGAGCTGTTATCCTACCTCATCTCATCTGAAGCCAGCTTCTAGAGACTCATTTATTTCACGAGAATGTACTTTGAAACTATCGTTTGAATGGAAACCATCCATTCAAACGACCAAGTGCCAATCAACCTTGTTTACCTAGTTTGTTGCCATAGCAACCAATCTGTGGCGGGGGGAGGGGGGGGAAATGCTGGGACAACCACTTATAAATTTTGTCTAATAGCCATAAAAACAATTATTAGCTAAATGGAGATTCTCTTTTTTATCTCAAACTTTTTTTAAGTAAATTTCCTAAAGAAATCTTCTATTTCCCATTTCCGTTTATCATATATTTAAGAAATGAATTTTCTTCCAGGTGGATTATAAAATTTAACAGTTTTGTAATTTACGGCTTCGGCAGGGTGCAGATATATAAAGCCTTATGTATTTAGCTAATTTTATAGCTTAGCTTATTTAGCAAATTTAAATCAATTAAATATTTATTTGAGTACCTATATAATTCCAGTTTATCCTGCTGTTACATTTATCCGAGCTGCCGTGCGTATTATAAGCTATATAAGTGAACGTACATATATAGTAACAAGACGAGAACTATTGTACGTATTGTTGATATTGTAGATGAGAATATTGACTGAATGTAAGGAAGCCGGAGATGACAGGTGGAGCCCCGAGGGGCGGCCCCGCCACCCGGACACTAACCGACCCACGGCACAATTTGGTGTAAATAATGACAGACGATGGAGGACGAGAATGCCAAGTTCTCGTATTTATTACGAGACCGAAACGTGATAATTCTTTTCGCAATCGTGGTTTTAATTAGTCTCTTAATATCTACTACTATTAGGTACGTACGATTGGTTACTGGTGTGTCTGTGGAGGGATTAGAGACGGGCGGTGTTGCAAGAGCTGTGGACGGCGGACACATGACAATTGGCTTGTTACTTGTCGTAGTTAGTTAGAATTGGTTTATTATGCACCCCATACCACCCGTCATGTAGGCGGTGGTGGCAAGCGTCACACAGGCACGTAATGGGTACAGTAATTGCACCCTAAAAAAATTAAGTTAGTTTAAACAAATTACAGTCTTGATAAGCTATTAGGCCTTCCTAAACAATTTTGTATATACTGTATTTTTCTCCAGGATGTTATCAATGTCAATGAAATTTGAGTTAAGTGTTGCAAATCTGTTTAATAATCTACGTGTTCATATTTTGAGCCATATAAGCCTAGGCATAAATGTAAAGGCAGTGATGCTGGGGGCGTGTTCTATGTATATTTGACTCTTGATTCAACCCCCCCAGTCCTGGGTGGACATTTTGCTTCCTGCTTGCTTGGGGGTTGCTGGAATTGTTGTAATTTAACCTGACGCATTATGACTGTCATAAAATACCATCCTTCAGGTGCCTGAATATTGATGGCTACGACATATCCACATGACAATCCCTGTGGTGCAGTGGTAAAACACTCACCCTGCACTTCACAAGCAATTTGGCCTAGTTCATATACTAGTTCATATGGCTACTGTAGCTAGTGTGTCCAGGCGTCTGTGTGTCGATGCGCCTAGGCACCACACTGCAGTGCGCGGCTGTTGTTGCTCTATCACAGGTAGGCAGCCAGCTTTGAAAGAAATGATAACGCACTGACGTAAGGGAGAGAAAGATTGCATAGTCTACCTCAGTGTAACCTATCACGTTTCTTTTTTTTTACACAATGAATCACAAAGTAATCCTGAAAGGAGGAGCCCGTCCTTTTCGACCTTGTATCGAAAAGGCAGAGGCAACACACCAGAAATACACTAAATTATGCCAAGTAGTGGTGTCCATTAGATGTCCATCATCCTAGTTTTGGTTCATATACTGGCCGGGGAGGATTGACTGGGTGCCAATCCTTAACTGTAGCCTGTTTACCCGGTAGTGAATGGGTACCTGGTTGTTAAACGATTTAGCGGGTCGTATTCCGAGGAATATTAGGATTAAGAACCTGCCCGAAATGCTATGTGTGCTAGTGGATTTACAAGAATGTAAGAACTCTTGTATATATAAATAAATATAAATAAATATCGTTTGGTGTCACGGGAATTCATATACGTTTTGACATTTTTTCGGTTTGATCTTGTAATGGGAAGGCTCAGATGGCTGCGTGGCAGTATTAATTTGTTTTCCCAACCTGGCTCAAATTTATTGGTATCAAGCAATGTTAATTATAGCTGGAAGGCTTAATGGTTTTCCCCAACAATGGAAAGGCAGGGTTCATGCTTCCTGGTACTATCATAGCCTCGTAATTCAATAACAGCAATGCATGTTTAGTTTTGTTTTTACATAATTTAATTTCAGATTCTTGAAATTGGCACTGTACATTTAATTGATATTCATGCTTTTCTTCACTTTGATATCATTCCTGGTACATTAAGCCATCTCACATTTCATAATTGTATTGTTATGATTGTTGCATTTGTGGTGCCACATTGGGTCAAGACGCTGGTCTTTGGACAGTTGCTAGTCTCAGGAGAACATTTACTCCCCCAAAATACCTATAGCGACTATCAGTGTATAGAGCAAAACCACAAAAATGGTAACAACTCTTCAAATATATTTAAAACTCATTGATATATGAAAGGTATCTAATAGAAACTAGTTGGAATAATTATTAAAACATTAATTTTTCTATTTGGAGCATGTTTATTACAAAGATAAATAATAAATAAATAAATAAATAAATAAATGTTTATTTAGGTAAGGTACATACATAAAGAGATTTTACAAAGTTTGTTGGATTAATAGATAGAGCTAGTACATACAATGCCTAAAGCCACTATTACGCAGAGCGTTTCGGGCAGGAAAAACATTAATGACTAAAGCTTAATACTAATGGGTAAAAAGAATAGAATGTGTTGAACCTGAATGTGTTGTGACCTGAAATTTTGATGTCTGAATTCCGGACACCAAATTCAAGTACTGAGCAGTATCTGCAAATCAGTTGAAAATGCCACTTACTCATTCCAAACATAACATGAAAATTTTCCTAGGTCAATTTATTATATCCAATGTTACATTTCTTGTGTAATTATTTTCATCATAATCATTACCTATTTCCTACCCAAAGTTGGTGGGAAGGTATCAATCCAGAGAGGATTGGGAGAGCAGTACATATTTGAAAAGGTTAAAGAAGATGTAATCTAAATAATACTCTTTCATTCATAAAGTCTTCCACACTTAGCAACATAATAAAACCAGCACCATGGTACACCAGCAAGTTATCCACAGCAGTACTTTAGTTCATCAGACTTAATGTATCTAAATGTATAGTATATCTAATATCCACTCCCTCTTAACAAAATTAAGATTCATTTCTTTTTTTATCAATTGGTTTAGCATTACTGAGTGGACAACTTTACATACCTTGTGATTTATTACATACTTTATGTGGATGCATTCTGTAATGAATATTTTCAATATTTTTGCTGCATATGGCATGCACCTCCTGAAAGCTGTTATTTTTTTTGCTCAAATTTTTGTTTCATTACATTTCTAGTATGAAAACTATTCAGTTATTATACCAGTAACCATTGCAATTCATAAAACAAATTTTAGACACTTTACAGCCAAACAGTTAAAAATGTTCTTTTTTTCCCATGGGCAAGAAGATAATGAGTGTTGTTGCAGGTTATTAAGTTAATATCAAATATGAGGTTGGGAAAATGGCTTAATGCTGTGAACATATCTTTGTCTTTACAGTGTGCTTGTGGGAGCTCTGCTGCTCTGTTCCCTCCTCAGTGGACTCGTCCTACCTTTTATCATATTTCGGTGAGCTAAGTAAAAGTTTCTAGAATGGTTGTCTTTTTAAGTAAAATTGGTTGATTTATATAAGCATCTGCATTAATTCTAACAATACTAATAATAATAACAGCTTTATTGCAGACTCTGGTTCATATGTTGCACAGGGATACAGGAGAGTGGAATACATGGCATTAATACTGTCATAATATTTGTATATGCATTTGTATAATTACACATAAATACTGAGACAAGATTATTTAACACATAAGCAACATTGATATGTAGCAGCAACACTGACTTATACACAGATGGTTATGCCCCATGTAGCTTACTCTGACATTTCATTTATATTGGGGGGAAGGTATTTATGCCTCACGCTTCTAACAACAAATATTACTATCTTTCAGAGATGGTAGACAAGTTCCTAATCTCTTGGCCTTATTTACTGGGCCAGAAAATAATGATTATAAAGGGGAAATGCCACGTTCCTGCTCAGTGTGTGGGGGAGAACGGTGTCAGCGTCAGCACCCAAATACTCCTCTCCAGATAACTGCACACACACATGTTAATTTTTTAGTACCACAAAGTGTGGATGAAGCACTTGAAGAGGTAAGTAATGAAACATTTTCCTTTTTGTTTTCTTATTTTACTTATACTGTATTGAAACACAATAATAATATACATACAAAGACTAAACCACACACCAAAAGATGAGGAGACAACGATGTTTCGTTCCGTCCTGGACCATTATCAAGTCGATTGTCTTGACAGTCGACATTATCAAGTAGAGAATCAATTTGATAATGGTCCAGGACAGACCGAAACGACGGAGACGTCGTCATCTCATTTTCTGGTGTGCGATTTAGTCTTTGTATCTTCAGCCATGTTATTGTGACTCATCGTCTGCACAGTAATACATATAAATTTGTTTTAAATCCATTGTACTGTATTTAACAAGTTGTGGCCCAACAAATGACGCAAAAGCATCCCGATTTTAGAAATTACAAAATTTCACTTATCACATATTATCACATACAAATTACTTTGCCTTAATTGTGGGTTGTAGCATGGAGAAGATCAGTAGTTGGCCTGTGGATGGACTGATCTCGATAATCCTAAAAGGCTTCCTGTCCCTGACAACAGGAATTATTGCATCCATATAAATTTGTATTATAACTAGATGATACTAAAATCAACATAAGATAACTGTTGCATTAGCCCAAAGATCAGTGTATGATAAAAACTCATTAAGGGTTAAAATATACATTAAAGAGAGCAAAAAAATAAACATTTAATTAAAAGAATGATGATATTTTATATACAGCATGTAATGTTTCCCCAGCTGTTAAACCTGGCCCTGGATCACCATGTGTATAGCTGGTACCGGGAAATCTCCATCCATGAGCAGCTGGCAGATGAAATTCGATATATAATTAGATATGCTGTAGCAGTGGTGGCCAGCAAGCTTACAAAGGTATTTTGCATGCTAAAAAAGACATAGCAAATTATGTTGTGTGTTTTATGCTGCCCTGGAAATGAGTGTGTGTGTGTGTGTTTGTGTGTAATTAACTGTGTGTAGTTACAGGATGAGAACTACACTTGTGGTGTCCCGTCTTCCCAGTATTCTTTGTCATAAAACTTTAAAACTATTGACAGTTTTGGCCTCCACTACTTTCTCACTTAACTTGTTCCAAACCGTCTACAGCTCTGTTAGGAAAAAGAAAAGAAATGTATGTATGTGTGTGTGTGTGAATATCACAGAATACAGTTATTTTTGCTGTAATTTGAGCTCACATTAATGTTATTTTGCATTGATTGTAAATTATTCTACTATACATTTTAGACTATGCTCATCTGTGTCAAATTGTGTATATTTTTAATTTTGTATGATGGCAACAGTTTGCGTGATCATTAGCATTGGTCAGTGATGCCATTTATCTATGTACTGAATGTCACTCTGCCAACTGGAATGTAACATACCATATATTGTTTTGGGTGACAACAAAGAGGATGGTGGTTCTTTTATGTTGATTTAATATAAGTTAGGTTATAGGAGTCAGATGATGTGTAATGATAGGTTAAGATGAGGACGCTTGTTACGTGCTGCTGGCAGAGCCGGGTAGGACATAGCGCTGAAGGTGGCCAGATGCGGAGAACTTATGTGAGGCCTGGAGCAGAGAGCATGAGGGCCATGGATAAAGTGGTCGAAGTAGAAAGAGAGCGAAGAACTCAAATGAGGCCAGGATTGGCTGTCTGGTTTGTAGCGAGGCTTTTAGCATATTGTTTGAGAGCTAGAACTAGACTTGACGCATATTAAGTCGTATGCTGTCGAATATCGGTAGTGTTGGAGAAGATCCACAGTATATGCAGAGCATTTGTCACTGAATCACTAGTGGAATTAGACTGATGCTATAGCTTATATCCATGCTTCACCTAACCTGTTTCATGGCCCAGGATGCTGTAAAACCAGCTGATGGGAAAGCTTGATGGTTACTGGAACTTTCTGGGAACTTTTATTCATGTAATTTCAGATATTATTAATGGTTAATGAATATGATTGCAGGTGTCAATATTGATTATGGGGATAAGTAGCAGACACAGAGATAATTTGCTGTGCTACAGGGGCATTCAATGATCTTGCCTTTGGGAGTCTATTATATCCACATTTTCATATTCAAACTTCATTTTTGTTAATAATATCTGCTCTTATGGGGGAATATGTATTTTTTAGTGAACTATGTTTTATCATATTACATATTCATGTGGACCAGTGACTTCTGGTTGAACATTGACCATTTGAGCCAACTTGACTGAAACTTTCTTTTATTCCAGTGTCTCCCACGTCAGCCAATTTTTTCAAATTGGTTGATTCTGCTTTATTTGGGCTTCTGATCAAGCAGGTTTCATTTGAGGGGAATCTACAATATTTAATAACTTTTAAATGTACTGTAGCTGAAAATTTCACAGGCTTAGACTGCTTTACATCCTTCAGGTTGATCTGACAACAGTGATCATAGATCGTCTGCTTCCAGCACTCATAAATCACTTGGACGCATATGTTGAGGGCAGCAGAAGAGTTCGAGGTAACACTTCTTCAGAAGCAGCTGTGGTTCAGTACCTAAGAGCAGGAGGTGGGCTGCACCGGGCAGTGAAGTCACGTGAAGATGAAGCAGCTTATTTAAGAGGTGTTATTGGCACTGTTATACCCTCTCTTCTTCCAACAAAATATCAGTCAAGCAGGTTAGTTGGAACATAGAACAAATTTCTGTTAGGCATATAAGCTTTATGCATTCTCTTTAAATAGTACAAATGTTTTATTTGGAAATGCTGCATTAAGTAATTTTAATATATTATATACATTATTTATATTACCATTTTTTGGGAGCTCCCCTTGATAGCTCCATATAACTAAACTCTTAAAAAATATACAATTCTCCTGAGATCCACATTGACCTGCTGGGAGCCAGGACCAGAATCTGGCTCTGTCTGCAAGGCATCTTTTGTTTAATTTGTAAAACAAATTAAATTGCTACTTGAATAAATAAGCAAATTTTGAGGCAAATGATCATTGTCATGGGCAAACAACACTAACCCTGATGAATCCAACTGCCAGTTTACTTAACGGTTCAGGCAGCTTTGATAGTTCCAGATTTGTATACCTCATCCTCACTGTCAGTTGGGTAATCATGGGTTTTCCAACTGATCAGAGTGGGACTTTGCTGCTTGCACCTAACAGGATGTAATTTTGTTTTGTTTTATTGTCAATGGGTCTAGGAGTATTTTCCTCCTTCAGTGTGTGTTGTCTGTAAGCAGTGGACTGCTTTGATGGTTAAATAGCCTTAATATTTACCCAATTTACTTGAGGGCCGCTAACCCTAGTGGCCTCGATGAGGACAGGAAGCCTGTAGTTTCCTTTATGTGGTTTATATATATAGTTTCAAATATATTGTAGCCTTTAAGACTACCACAGATTACTTCAGTCTTGTTGCATAATCAGAATGCACATTATGGGCTGCTGCTGCCAACACTGGTGGTGGTACTACTGACCTGCTCTTTTATGAGATCATTAGTACCTAATCATGGACATGTGTGGCAAGGTCCAGTCTGCCTTCTCTGCACCTTCTGTTATTCTGGAGAGGCCAGTGCATCCAGCTTGTGTGTGCCCAACTACCCAGCCTTCCTTGTTGGTTCCGGCTACTAGCCAGTCTTGGCTTGAGGACCCGCAGGTGCTGTTGAGAAAGCACTTGCAGAAGTGGTTTTGGGGACTGCTTCCTTTGAGGACTTCATGGAGGTCCTGGAGCCTAGTATCTCCTCTGTAACCCATTTATTCCTATGGGATGTGCCTAGGGGCTCATCATCAAGGAGGTTATGTTACAAGTTGACACTGTTCTTTCTTTCTTCCTTGTGTCAGGGTTCTAGGGGAGGTTTTATAGGCTCTGTCATACTTAGGAGGGAAGGGTCTCAAGGATTTCAAGTTGAAGTAGGCTCTTGCTTGATTTTTTTTACCTAATTTGCAATTTAATTCCTGACTCTTGAGGGTTTATTGTTCTGTTTGGATGGGTTCTCTATTGCCCTATCCCAATATGAGTTTACTCTTCTGTGCCATTGCAGTTGCAATTCTGTGTCCTGGTTTGTGGCTTGGATTTGTTCTCCCCTAGCACAAGTTTACCAAGATTTGGCAGACTGGGACTTGCTTTAGTTCCTGCTGCAAGACCAGGGTCCTGCTTCTGAAATTAACCCAAACTCTTTTGAGCACAGATTCTCTTCATTTCCTGGTTGCACTACGATGTTCCGGCCTCATTCTGAATGGCAGACAAACCCCTTATTTCCTTCAGGCATGTGGCAATTTCTTTGTTGGTAGCTGGTTCTTGAGTGGAAGAGTCCCATCCTGATCTTTCAGGTCTTTCTTGAGGTTTTTCCTTTGCAATTTTTGATGATGATGTTTAGCAGCTCATTTGGTGGTGGTGGACAACAAGGCCTGCATCCCTTTGGCAGTGGCTATCATGTGCAATTCAGGAGATACTCTTCATGCATTAACAGATTGATCTCAGTTGCCTGTGTCTTCTACAAATTATTAAGACATAACAATGCTTCTCATGATTTTGGGGTTTGAAAACAATGGTCTAGTAAATTAGTAGCACTTGATAATTATAATAATAATCGTCATAGCTCAACTATACATGCTAAAGCCACTAAATAAAACTGTGTTATATGGAATTCCCAGCATTGAATATATGGGTATGCCGCTGTATACATACATATCTACACATTTTTTATTTGTTGCCTTGCAGATTGGGGCGTACATTCTTAGAAGAGCTGTTGGGTCGAGTTTTATTACTTCAAGCATTGGACCTACTAGCCAATCCAGACACATTGAATCTACTTTTTCTTCTTCTGTTGAGTCGTGATTCTTCACCATGGTTACCTCATAAACCTGAGCCAGAGGTTCTTCTTCTCAAGAACTTTGCCTCGGTTAACACACACCCACGTAACTCGGTAAGACATTGACTAATATTGTTAAAATGCATTCCCTGATCATTGGAACTAAAAAAATATATTGTACGTGACTTTGGACATGATGGAGCAGAGAAGTTTAACAATTTTATGAGTATTAAGTGAGTACTCACCTAATTGTACTCGCCTAATTGTACTTGCGGGGGTTGAGCTTTGTCTCTTTGGTCCCGCCTCTCAACTGTCAATCAACTGGTGTACAGATTCCTGAGCCTACTGGGCTCTATCATATCTACATTTGAAACTGTGTATGGAGTCAGCCTCCACCACATCACTGCTTAGTGCATTCCATTTATTAACTACTCTGACACTGAAAAAAAAAAACGTCTCTGTGGCTCATCTGGGTACTAAGTTTCCACCTGTGTCCCCTTGTTCGTGTCCCATCCGTGCTGAAGAGTTTGTCTTTGACCACCCTTTGTCCACTCTGAGTAGGCACTCAGCGAAGCTTGCACCAGTGGGACGGGAGTTAATTCATAATTCATTGTGTCGTGGGACAGGAAACCAGAGTGTATTCATACACGTTAAGCTTATATTGAGGTCCCCTCCCAAGGTTGAATTACTGACCCTGCCCACGATGCAATCCCACAACAAGCTGACTAACTCCTGAGTACAGTGGTACCTCGGAATGCGAGTGTCCCTGTATGCGAGTTTTTCGGAAGACGAGCAGGATTTACTCCAAAAATATGTCTCGGAAGACGAGGGTTACCTCGGGACGCGAGTTTGTTGATACGTGTACAGGCTGACTGGCGCGTGGTGGCATGGCGATCACGCCTCAGTTTACCAGTGTCTCGTGTCCAGTGACTATCCCACCTGAATTCTTCACAAGGATTTACAGTTTTTTATCGTTTTTTTGGCCATTTGAGCATAAAAGTTGTCATTATATATCTTGCCATGGGTCTCAAGAAAGCCATTGGTAAGGTTCAACCTAAGAAAATAGCTGTGAGTAGAGGCAGTAGAGGATGTCCCTTCTTGATTAAGAAAATGTGTGAAGTATGGGAAGAACTGCAAAGTTTTGTTGAAAAAACTCACCCAGATAAAGCTGTAGCAGGCCGTTGCATTGACCTTTTAAATGATAATGTGATGTCTTACTACAGACAAGTGTTAAAATGTAGGGAAAAACGAGTGTCATTAGACAAATTCTTAGTAAAACAAGCAAGTCCTAGTGGTATGCAGGCAAAATGTGCCAGTGTGTGCATACCAGTGAAGTCCTCACTGCCTGATGTGATAATGGAAGGGGACTCCCCTTCCAAACAGTAACTCCTCTCTTTCTCCCACCTCCTCACCATCTTCCATACGCCTACAGCATTCAACAGCAAGGTAAGTAATAACTTGAACATAGTTTTGTAGGTTTATTTAGATGAATTAGGTATAAAAATTTAGTTTGATGTGGGGTTTTTGGGGTAGTCAGGAACGGATTAATTCATTTCCCTTTATTTCTTATGGGGAAATTAGCTTCGGAATGCAAGTTTTCGGAAAACGAGGCGTCTCCAGGAACTAATTAAACTCTTAAACTGAGGTATGCCTGTACCTCCTTACTGCTAGGTGAACGTATGTATGTAAATTGCGGTGAATATACTTTTACATAATTATTTCAATGTGGCTAAATGGTTTTTATCTAGTTTCTTGCAGTAATATTATTCGTAAGTGTATAACTTGAGGAATTTATATAGCTAAATGTGTGAAACCGCTATGGTAAAAAATATGGTGCTCATATTTAGTGAATTAAACACAGTGTTTTTCCTGTATTACAATATATATATTTATATACTCAGGTTATATATAACTATCAGTTACAGTAATTATTATAAATAAATGAAATGGAATAATTGTATTGATAATATTAATTAGATTGTTCATGAATTTTATACACTGCACTGTACACTGAAGTATGGAGTACACTGCAAGGCTAAAATAGAAGTGGGTGCAGCTTTAAATAATTATTATTTTTTCTATATTTGTGCTTATTTAAAATGCAATTTACATTCAAAGCTAGTTTAATTTTTTTAGTTTCAGTTGTAATTGTGTGTCCCAAGGAAATTTTGCACAAAGCAGCTATTTTGTGTGTGTATTCCAAAAATGTTTACAGGCATTAGATTCAAGCTTTAAATTTATATTGATATATAATTGATACATGCCACATTGTGTGTAAATTAACATCATCATAATCCTCATTAGTTAGTTTTGTATTATGTATATATTTGCTTTAAATTTGATAACATTAATATTAGACCAGGATCTTGGCTTGTTCCATGATTAGCTTTGTATGTCATCTGTCTATTTGTATTTCTAATGAAATTACTAAGATGGATTTGCATGATACAGTACGCTGGGTGTTGTGAAGACTTGCATCTGTGGGTGACTGGGTGTGATGATGATATGTCGAGCATAGTAGATGATGATTCACGCTATCACCACCACCAGCTAGTTCATAAAATTATCCTTGAATGTATTAGTGGGTTTTGCATGATAAACTTGGTATTAGTTCTTTATAATGAATTGAGAAAGATTTGTTTAATACAATAAGTACTGTGTATATGGGGGGGGCAACAACCGTCATGTCTTTGTGTGTACACTGTCTAGGATGTGTCTCCCATGCATACCCATCTTACATATCTAACTTACATATCATCTTACATGTTTCACCTTGTTAAATAAATTAAAAATACACTGATGCTTATTAACACTTACATTTATTTTTACCTTGTGTAACTTTTTCTTTTTTAATGAGTGGGTTTTTTTTTTTTTTTGCAAGGTTCTGAGATGCAACTTGTCTTCTGTGTTGAAGGATCAGAGTCTTCTGTACCTGTTTCACACCTTTCTTAAGGAAGAAGGAGCTATTAACAATCTTCAGTTCTGCCTTGCTGTTGGTTAGTAGTACAGTATTGTGTGTATTAGTAAAGCATTTTGGCAATTCCTCTTGTATACTTTTATTGTCAAAATAGTTTGTATCTGTGTTTATTGACAGTTACCGGGTAAATATAGCTTAATTTGATTTTTTAGGAATATTTTTTGCACGGGATTAAATAAGTAATTGGTTACACTTGTAAATAAATGTAGAGTTTGATTAAGACTGTTTAAGTCTCACCTGCGTCTCTAACATCCTAACATCAACTAGGTCTGCGTAGGAATTATCCTTCAGTTAACTCCAGCCTGAAAATGAGATTGCTTCTGCTCCAAAGTTGATTCAGTCTTGCTTAAAAGGCTTCAAATAGGTAAAGGTTCAAAATTTCAGAGTACCAAATTTGAGCACCCTCACTCTCTAATGTTAAACAAGCAAGTTGTACCATGGTTCAACTACAGATGGCCTTGCTAAAACATGAGGTCATAGGTCTCCTTCCATTGGCTACACATTACTTTAGAGCATGGGTATGACATCAGAGCTCTAACAGGCACTATCTTGTTTGATCAAAATCATACACAAAATTACAGTGTAATAGGTACAACCTACAACCTACTATCAGCATAATTACATAAGTTTATATATATCTTAACATAAATAAAATACTCCATGGTAGACCTTAATTCTCATTTTGCATGAGAATGACTCCAAGAATGCTGAGTAATGAAATGATGGTCTGTGGTACCAAAACACCACACACTGTGTTCTATTGCGGTATCTCTTTCATAAACTGTACCCTCTGTGTTCTTGTCAAGGTACCACATGGTCAGCACATTACCTCTGAGTCACCCAGTGTCTTGCTCAGAGAGATCAGCAATTCCTCTGAGGATTGCCAGAACCACTAAATATTCCAAATTTCAAATGGTAGAGTGAAATGAAGAGAGTGTATAAACCTATGTAAACCTCTCACTGGGTTAGGTTACGCCACCAGCCTTGCGTCATTGGGGTGTAACATCACCTCACTCCAGTTCCAAGGAATGGATCCTCAGATCATTATCTGCTCTCCAAGTGGTAAACAATCAAATTTAGAGACTAAGATACCCCACTTTGTGCTTGCTGTCTTTCCCTGGCCAAAGCCTTCACTGGCAGCGTCGACAGCACCACTGCAGCGTTCCTGGTTTACCTATAGCCTACGTCCAGTATCAACACACGCTTTGCCAGGAACCAAATGCTGGTTCGACAGCCACCTCTACCTTCAGCCTAGTCCCTGTCTTCAATTCATATACCAAATTCCTTTGCAGTGTCACTTTTTATTTTTTTTTAGTACTGTACTTGGTCGACTCTTTAGTTTACCACAACCCGTACTCATAGCATGGCATATCAGTGAAATTACAGGGGATTTGGCAAACACCTCTTAAAATAACAACGAAGTTTACCAGTGAAAAAATTATATATGTAACCTCATCAATACAATATTAGAACTGTTGGAACTCCAACTTCAACTACTAATAATATACATTCAAATAATCACACTTGGTTCAGTTAACTCAGTTTACTTTAATGGGAAGTATTCCCTTGGCCTAACTTACGAAACCTTAGAGCTCAACTGACGTGACCTTTCCTCACGACATTTGATGTAACAGTGACGGCTCCTTAGCCAGTGAGTGATCCTGAAATATCGCTCACCTGTGACGTCATGTCAGGTCATCTGCTGATTGGCTATCATTCTTGCTCTGTACCATTCTCGTTTTCCATTCTGTCCCTTGTAGGAGTGTGTACCTTCCTCTGACAGGATTCTGTCTTCTACTTCCTGACACAGGTGCCATATTTGGAGGGGGGAAAATTCAGTTAGGTTATCCCTTCAAATTCAGTGAAACAAAAACTACCATAAAACGGTGCAGGTTGCTCCTCATCTACATTAACTAAAATGTTCTCCTGGCTGTTTAGCACATGTGTAGGGTGGAGCTAAATGACTCTTGAAGCAGAAATGGCTGTACTGTACTTAGATGGCAATCATAACAGTTTATAGTTTCCTTAGGTTGTGGTCATAGTTCCCATATACTGTGTTCATAATTCTCATATACGGTGTTCATAGTTCTCATATAGTGTGTTCATAATTCCCACATGAACACACATGAACTGTTCCTGAGAATGCTGATATGATCTACAGAGTGGTTTCACATTGAGGCATATTTTAAGAGATGTGATGCTTTCTTCTCTGGTGGGAAAATAGGGTTAGATCTGGAGTTTGTTACATGCTGTTGTGGAAGTTTGCCACCCTCAAGATGCTCTTCACCTGTTTTTGCTAACATCTTTGCTTGGGAATAAACTTTGTCTGCATCCCCCCTCGACCGGGTGAGCCGGTCGGCCAAGCGGACACCACACTGGACTTGTGATCCTGTGGTCCCGGGTTCGATCCCGGGCGCCGGCGAGAAACAATGGGCAGAGTTTCTTTCACCCTGTGCCCCTGTTACCTAGCAGTAAAATAGGTACCTGGGTGTTAGTCAGCTATTACGGGCTGCTTCCTGGGGGTGGAGGCCTGGTCAAGGACCGGGCCACGGGGACACTAAAGCCCCGAAATCATCTCAAGATAACCTCAAGAAGATCCTATTATTAGTTTCACTGTGTACACCATTTTATCTTCTGGCAAAATAAAAGTTATTGCAGAAAATGTCACAATAATGTGGTTGGTAGTAAAAAAACAAACTGTCATGGCCTTGAGTGGTCTTTATAAATAGTCTATTAAAATGTGCAAATTAAAGCAAAATTCGTTGCACTGTATTTTCAATAATATATATCTGTGTTGAATTAAAAAATTAAGTCTTTTTCATTGAATATTTATATTGTGATCATGACAGAATGTCTGCACTTGTGCTTACCTTCATGTGATAAGTGAAGCTCAACTAGTGGGCCCCGGGCATCTCTGCAATTGGTTGTTAAACACAGAGTACTTTATAGCAGTCAACTGATAGACCCAAGAGTTGGAGCCCATTCTTTGAAAATACAAAAAGCTGATCAATGAAGCACTTGTATCCTTTATAACATAACTACCCACCATCATTGCAGGATTGGTAAAACAAATGAATCTTCATCATTTGCTTATAAATATTTTAACAAGATATTTGTTCATTTGATGTATCACGTTAGTGTGATTTCTGTGTGTAATGATGTAAGGGCGAAGAGGGAAAACGGCCTATTGACATAGCTCGAGTGCAGGGGAGAGTTGTGTAAAATCCTGGTTTGTGCCTCGGAGAGGCTACGGGATCCAGTAAGTTCAGTAGAACTTCGGTTTCAACTCTTTTACCCTGTCGTAGCTCAGTCGATTAAGGCAATGTCTGGGATGCTCCCGGACGCAGGTTCGAATCCTCGTCACGGCCCTTGTGGATTTGTTTATCTTGACAAGTAACATCTTGTTTTCCAACAGAGGACTTCAATCGCCACATCCTAGACCCTGACCTTACATCAGAGCAGCTAGAGCAACTTCATCATGAAGCTTTGGAGCTTTACCATACCTACATGGTTACTTCTGCTGTAGACCGCATCAACTTTCCTTCACACATAGTCTCACATATTAGAGAGAGTAAATATGCAGTGTGTTTCTTATTAAAAAGCATCAGGTCAAACATAATTTCACACAGTAGTGTAAGTTTTTAAATTATAATAAACACAATTGTTATATTTAATCTTATGATATTGCAATAAGTTTAGCTTACATCTTGATTGTCATCCGTGTATAAAGTTGACAGACTTTTGAAGATAATTTAAATGAAGATAATTTTTTAAATGTTTGTAATTATTTATTGTTAAATTATAATTTTATTTCAGTTGTACATGGGGAGGTTAAAGACATCGTTAAGCTGCGTACTACACGTCCCCTCTTCCAGGCATATGAACACGCATATAATCTACTAGAGAGAGAATACCTTCCACTCTTCATGCACAGTCATGCGGTGAGATATTCCTTAATGGCAGGTTCATTTCTGGAAGAGTAGTTCCATATCTACACAAATCAAACATCAATCACACCTCAGACAGCAGGTCTTCGTTCAATAACTTTTATCACCTGGTTTGCTTATGAAACTCCAGCCTGAAATGCAATTAATTTTTTAAAATTTGGTGGCATATACTAATTAATGGCTTGAGTAACAGATGATAATATCTTCTATTAATAAATATTAAGAATAATAAACTGTGTTCATTAATAAAAAATATATATTTTTATTATTATTTTTATTATTATTATTCTAAAATATATGCTTCAGTTAATTTTTCTTATTCATAGGAATAGTGCACATAAGGTGTGTCAGTACATACACAAACATGTACGTGTGTACATAGTACTGTAAAAGCATTCTTTAGCCACAACTTTGATTATATAGCAATCATTAATATTATCTTAATGTCATAGATTCAGTTATTTTTATATTTTTTGCAAAATTAATTGGAAAGTGGGGAGGTTTCCTTTTAAATTAGCACTTGAGGATCTCTGCATATAATTGATATTTTGTTTGATGAGAATATAGTCTAGGTCTAACTATTCTTAAACTAGGAAAATTTTTTTATAAAAAATAAGTTAATATTTGTCACTTAATGAAGCCTTATCTCATTCTGTGCAAGGAATGTGGTCTAGAAAAAAATGTTAACAGAGTAAACTTTATTGTATGTCAAAAGATAAGGTTGTCATCCAAAACACTTCAAAAGTCCACTTTTATACACTTTTTCTCTTTTTAAAAACACTTAACTGAACATTATCATTAAATTCTCTCTTTCTAGCCACATATACAATAGATAATGATGTGCATAATACTTTGGAAGGAGCTGTGATGCTAAAATATATCCAAAAGCATATGAAAACAATGCTACTTATGAAAGTCTTGAGGTCAAGAGCATGGTATGGGGCTTCCTTATAAATCAGGACTTTATAAACAAATCCACAAGGGCCGTGACGAGGATTCGAACCTGCGTCCGGGAGCATCCCAGACACTGCCTTAATCAACTGAGCTACGACAGGGTTAAAAGGGTTGGTTCGCAGGTTCGAATCCTCGTCACGGCCCTTGTGGATTTGTTCATTTGATGCATCACGTTAGTGTGATCTCTGTGTGTGTCAGGATTATATAGTTCTAGACTACAGTATCTGGATTTTAAAAAATGCACTTTGACTATTTACCAACACATTTTCCATATTACTAATGTAAAGCTCGAAATGAACATTAACCATAGAATTTTGTTTCAAATATGCATGATGGCTTTCCAAAGTACCAACTATTTCTATAATGTTGCATTCATCTACAAAAAAATCATTAAAAATGTGATAATTTCAGTATTAGAGGTGTTACCGATCATACTCTAATATTTGTCACACACTATTGGCAAAATTCACTTGAAATTTTAATATCAACTTATCTTATAGACTCCTACAAGAGATTTTGTAATGTGATTTCACCTCATCTGGCTTTAATTATTTCCTTTGCCCCAGCCTCAAAATGTATTTCCAAAATTAGCCAGATCTATATCTGATTGGACGAAACACTGCACCAACTTAAAATGAAAACAAACCTTAAATTTTTTTTTTAAATACTCTTAATAACTTTACCAGAACACCAACTAATTTCTCATAATGCTTCACTCATCTATGAAAATCATTCAAAAAACAACTGGGGCAATATTAAAGAAGTAACACAGATATCATAATGATGTGATATATCAAGGGAACAAATCCACAAGGGCCATGGTGAGGGTTCAAACCTTCACACATGTTGTTCCCAGATGCGCCTTAGTCGACTGTACCATGACATGGTTAAAAGAATTGCAACCTGGAGTGCTACTGCCCCTCACTAGGATCCCGAAGCTTCTCCGAAGCTCAATCAGGGTTTCACACAATTGCCCCCATGCACTCCAAGTTACAATTCTTTTAACCATGTCGTGGCACAGTTGACTAAAGCGCATCTGCGAATATCTCGTGAATAGGTTCGAGCCCTCATCGCGGTCCTAGTGGATTTGTTCATTAAAGAAGCGACATTCATACCCCCCATTTTTCCCATAGAAGCATTTCACTGGGCAGAATTTTAATTTCTCATTATCATATAATGAACATCTAACAGGAGAACATGTCTAGAGAAGTTTCACCCTCATTCCCACTATTTCTCAGGATCCAGGCCCATCAATGTTTTTAACCTAATCATTAACCTCTTCTTTTGATAACAAAACACAAGAATATCAGAAATGATAAAAAATGTCTGAAATTTTGGCAAGAAATTAATTTATCTAATGAGCAATTTTTTTTCCCTTCAGTATTTCGGTCATCTGTGTGGGACAAGAAGTTCTCAAAGCTATCAGAAAAATGCAACCAAGTAAGCATTTCCACCCACTCTGGGTTATATTTGACCACTTCTTTACTGTATCTGCATACTTATTGGTCCCTTGAGCTATAAAAGTTATGTAAATATCTTGTTGTGAAAGGTGTGTTGGGGTGTTTGTTTCTGCACAATATTCAGCAGCTGAGAAATTAAATACTTTCATTTAAAACAAAAAGTGCTGGGCATACTAAAGCGCATCTGGGAACATCTCGTGAATAGGTTCTAGCCCTTCAAGATACACTCATCATGTCATGTACCCTGGACTGTGTGCTTTAACACCAGTTTGAACTAAATGCAAGTTTGCTGACATGGACAGATATACAATGCAGAAGCTGTTCAATTATTATTAAAAGTATTAAATTCTTTGGTATTTACTGTTGTTGGGAAGGTAGCACATTTTGAACAGGATGTTTTGTAGGTTTTATTGTTGAGCTGCAGGTGATGACTTCTCACACACAGTTTTAAAAACAGTGTGTAAACATTTTACATGTGGTATTCAGCACAGTTTCTGGATCTTCAACAAAAGATGGCTTCAGGTAGTCTGTAATTTTAATGTTTATGGTGGAAAATTCATATTACTTAACTCTTGTATGGATTCAAATATGGCAAGCATGATATGAATAGAGATAAAAAAGGAAACTTAATACTAAATGATGAATGACAATTAATGTGTAATAATAGTTTGGAGATATTGGAGATATAAAAAGGAACAGGGAACTATGATTGAGAAAAGGAAAGAGAATAATCTCTGTTCATCTCTCTCTCTAATATGAATTGCCCCATTATCTTGCAGGGTGGCTTATGCAGTTTTCTCCATGTCCATTCGTCCTTGTAACACCATTAAATTCATCGTTACTAATATTTGTATTAGACATGTACAGTATTCTACTCTCTCACATGGCAGTTTTGAATTGCTCATCTCTCTGTTTGTCATATAAGTACACTCTCTGCAATTCATCATACCAACTCAGATTCCAGTTTGTAGCTTCCAACTCAGTCTCTTTTCTTACTTGGCAATTACATCTTAAGTAATCTCATTATTCTGTTCAGTTTAATAAAACCAAAGTAATTGTACTTAAGCTATATATACTCCTGAAAAGATTTTGCTTTAGCACATTGTTTCCCAACTTGGAACAAGAAAGTAAGACTACCAGTATATCCTTTGACTGACTGTTACATGTTCCATTATGCATTTGTAGGGGGTCAGGTTTTAGGTGAGCTGATGTAGAATAATGGCTCTTAGGTTGTAATTACATCCCTCTCCCTATCTCTCTCTCTTACGACTAACTCCTACCCCCCACCCCTCATCCTTACTCTGTCCCCTCTCATTTCCTTGTTTAGTATTTATTATTTTATAACTTCACACTGTTTTACATGCTCTGTTTACCCTGATTTACTCAGTTTATTCATCATTTTTGGATATATTGAATTCTTTTTGTAGGTATAAAATGTTAATACTTATTCTCTTATCATTTAAACTATAGTTTTCATTGGTAATTTTTGCTTCTTAATATTTTAGAGATTTGCCAGTCTGTTATGTATTTCTTCTCTCACATTTGTATGAGCTAATCCCTCTAAGTAGGTATAATATTTTCAACTATACAAATCTCTGGTGTTCCCCCATTTAGACTTTGTATCCAAGCATAGTGACCTCATCTTCAGAAGGACATACCTGCTTTGGACAAAGTTCAACACAGAGCAATAAGAATCATCATAGATCTAAGTTGACTCTCATACCAGGAATGGTTGAGGACCACAACACTAACAACACTGCAAACCAGACATGACAGGGTTGAGCTTATCCAAACTTTTAAAATACTGAACAGTTTGGAGAATATTAATGCAGACCACTGCTTCAAAAGGTCAGATGTAACACAAACAAGGGGGCAAGAGCTTTAGGCTCAAGCTTGATAAAATGAGGACAAATGTAGGGTGGGGGGACCTTTAGCAATCTGCCAGCTTCCTGTCCCCATTGAGGCCACTAGATAGATCCTCGGGTAAATTCAGGTAAATAATGAGAGCAGAGTCAGCTAAGTTTATTTTTCAGACAAGCTAAAGTATGGCATGTTAGAGCTGAATTTAATGATTAAATGAAGTGTATACATACTGTACATTTGCTAGAATGTGATATACTGTACAGTACCAATAAATAATAATAATAATAATAATATTAATAAAATTATTATTGAGAAAGTCAGTAGAAGCTATGATGAGGATTTAAACCTGCACATTGGGTAGTCCCAAGTATATGGCCTAACTATCTGCCACGACATGCTCAAAAGCAATGCAACCTGGGATTCAACTGAATCCTCTAGGGGGATCCTGAGGCTTCCAGTGAAGCCCATCCAGGGTTTTAGGCATTCCCTGCAAGCACTCTGGCTGTGGTGTAGAGTGCATGTGGGCAATTTGTGAAATCCTAGTTTGGCTTCAGTGAAAGCCTCAGGTTCTCTCAATGATTCAGTTGAATCCCAGGTTGCAATGCTTTTAAGCATGTCGGGGCCTGATGGCTGAATGGACAGCGCTAAGGGTTCATAGTTCTAAGGGTCTGGGTTTGATCCCCGGCAGAAGGCAGAAACAAATGGGCAGAGTTTCTTTCACCCTAAAGGCTTGTTCACCTAGCAGAAAATAGGTACCTGGGAATTAGACAGCTGCTATTGGCTGCTTCCTGAGGGGGGGGGGGGGGTGAAAATTAGGATTAAGGACTTGCCCGAAACACTATGCATGCTAGTGGCTGTACAAGAATGTAATAACTCTTGAATATATGAATAAATAATAAATAAATAAATGTCGTGGCTGAGTTGGTTAGGGTGTATACTTGGGACTACCCATTGTGCAGGTTCGAATCCTCCTCATGGCTTCTACTGATTTTCTCATTGATACATCACATTAATGTGATTTCTTTGGGCCAAATAATAATAATAATAATAAATGATGCAAAAATTGTTTGTCCTGCTTTTGATGATCTGAAAGAAGAAGAGAGATTGCCTTTGCTTCCAGTTATAATGTTTCGTTTGCCATTTTCCCAATACAGCCTCACTATGTAGATGTTTTTTACATTTTAAAATTTTTTTCTTTTTTGAAGTTGAAAGATTTTCTTATATAAACTATACCATGGTGATTGCTCTCTCCATACTGGTATTCCTTCAGTGAATGTTGCTTGTGAAGACAAATGACACTAGGTTCAGTTACTGAGTAGCCATACAACATGAGGCCACTAGATAGATTCTCAGGTAAATTTTTACCTGAGGATCCTGAGGATTACCTGAGGATCAGGTATGCTTGATACCAGCATATCAAGCATGAGGTGAAACACCTAGTAAGGATAAGACTTTACAATGGCTACTGTAGTATAGTGGTCTACATACTTAACTCACAATCTAGGAACTCTGGTTCGATCCCCGTGCAGGACTGAAATGATTAGGCATGTTTCCTTTCACCTGATGCCTATGTTCATCTAGCAGTAAATAAGACCTAAGAGTTAGACAATTATTTTGGGTTGTATGCTAGGGAAGGTCAGTACAGTAGTTGGCCTATAGGAGCCTCGATAGCCCCAAGTACAGATTTCCTGTCCCCGACAATGGGAATTATTCATAGATAACATTTTGCTCAGAGGAGTCTTCACAAATATATAATTTGAAAAACTCGTCACAGAGATTAACATTATCTATAAATAAAGTTTTCATTTTGTCATTTAAACACGACATTGGCGTCATTATTGTCATTCGGTGCAGAACGTATCAACTTTTGTATTTAGTTTGTGTACGTGAAGGGCTGCAGTAAAGCCACTTCGTGAATGCACTTTTCTGCTGTGTAAGCTGGAACATCTGCACATGGTATAAGTAGCTACATAGTTGAGTTCCATGTTTATTTGATAGAATATGCATTGGTACATTTGATGATCATGATTCCACACTGCAGTTTTGGGAATTTAAGTTTGTTAGCATTCAGGTGACTTGTGATATTTGACATTAGTTTTTTCCAGTTTAAATTTGTTATAATCTACATAGTTTTTAATTTATCTATTTTGTTTTGTTATTTTATAGAAAGATACAAAACTTACATCTACATTAATCTGTTATAATAAAATGGTATTTTAAATTTTCTCTCTAATTGGCAGCTCACCAGGAATAAGCAGGTACATAATGCTCTTGCAAGAGAGTGTATTTATTATTCTAAGTACTGTATATTTGGTTTTCTTAGTTAAGTTACTAATTTTGACTTCAGATGTATATTATGTTGCGTCTAGTGTTTGTCAACTCATCTTGGTTGCCTCTTTTAAGAGTAGCACCCACTGAGAGTATTGGCAACTTAGCTATTTGATTGAGAAATATAACTTTAAGAACATTTGGGAGATAGTTTTTTGACTAATGTAGTATTTTAAAATACTGTACAGGCGAGTCTCCTTTAACAAACATTCTGTTCACAAAACTTCACCATAGTGAAGACCCTGAATAACAACAGTTTTTCATAAATTAAACAAATGTTGGCTGTAACGAATGAATCTAGTCACTTTGTTACATAGTGCATCGATGCCGATCACCTGCCTGCCCTGAGCTGTTTTTTACCAGCTGCCCTATATTGTGCTTAACCATGAATGCTATCATTTGTTTTCCCTGTGTTAACATTTTCTTTGTATGTCCATTGATGTTCATTACAAAGGTTAAAGGTATGAACAGGACTGCTGTTCTTAGGATATGCATACCCTCAATGAGAGTATGGAGGACTGCTCTGCCACAGGTCCCAATTTCGGGGATCCCGGGGCTGGGGAGGAGTTGACCTGGGGAGCTTGGGCCCCCTTAGACCCTGCTTGGGTGTTGGTGCCCTCTTCACGGAGCTTGTTGTTGCAGGGGGGAGGAGTTTTCTTATCCCCTTCCATGTATGAGTATGATTTGGGATTGGCTCCTCCCTGGGTTTTGTTCCGAGTTCCCTTCGGTTCCTCGGCTCCTTCCTTCCAAAGAAGGTTTTCTGCCTCCTGTATCTTACCTAAGGAGGTT